CTCTGTTGGGACCGGCACTCGCTCCCTGCCGTCTCCTGGACTTTGCTTCCCTCCTGTTCCCTCCTGCCTCCCAGGAGCAGGCGGCAGCTCCCGGCTGGGAGCGCTCCCGGAGCTGGGGTGGACTCGGAGGCGATGTGTCCACAGGTGGGTTTGGGGGCTAACATGGAATGGGCTAACATGGGATTGGGTTTCTAGAGGGAGGCAGGTCTGTGGTGCCAGGGATGTGCCCTCAGCTCTGGAGGTGCCGGGAAGGGGCAGGTTGGGATCTATGTGACTCCTTACACAGGCAGTGTAGGACAAGGGGGGATGGTTTAAATAAAAGAGGAGAGATTTAGATGGGATGTCAGGAAGGAATTCTTGGCTGTGAGGGTGGTCAGGCCCTGGCACAGGTTGCCCAGAGAAGCTGTGGCTGCCCCATCCCTGGAAGTGTCCAAGGCCAGGTTGGACGGGGCTTGGAGCAACCTGGGCTAGTGGAAGGTGTCCCTGCCCATGGCAGGGGATGGAACAAGATGACCTTTGAGGTCCCTTCCAACCCAAACTATGCCATGATTCTGTGATTCCATGATGTAACTTCACAGTCCTCTCTCTCTGCCTGGGTCCTCTCAGGGGAGTTGGACCAGGAGGAACAGTGCCTGCAGGCTTTGGGGGTGCTGGGACAGTGTGCAAGATGTGGTGTTTTGTGAGTTGTTGTTTGGTTTGGGGTTTTCTGAGCTGTGTGGGTGTTTTCCATTTGCCCCAGCAGATGCAGGGTGGTTCTGTCGCCCAGCCCTGAGGGGTATAACTGAGTGTAATACCCTCAAACCCCAGCTTCAGGGACCGAGTTGTGAAAGCTGCCTTTGCCCGGGGCTGAGCACAGGCTCCCTGGCTTCCATGAGAAGCTGACATTGCCTGAATATGTGGGATGAGGCAAATGTTGTGGCCCAGAGCTCAGTGCCATGCTGCCCCCCATGTGGGGTGACGTGGTGGTGCAGTGGCTTTTTGGAGGCTGAGCTGTCGTGGGCTGTTCCCAGGGCTTTGGGGGTGGCTGCATTAATGTAGGCTCACGTGGATCTATAAACACAACTATCTCCCTGTCCCTGGCTCCCTGGCAGGAGTGTTCCAAACCTGGCACTGGCACTGCTGTCCTGGCCACAGGGTGTCCTTGGAGGGTGATTTTTGTAGCTGGCTCCTCTCCCCCCCCTCCTGTATGCAGTCAGGGCTGGAGCTCTTCAGAAACAGGCTCACACTGCTGGGAAAACAGAGTTGTTTATCCTTTTCCTCGTCTCTCACCTCCCCTCCCAACCTTCCGAGTGTTTGTGGCCGAGGACAGCAGAGCTTTGGGATGTCGGGACAGATCCAGGGACCAGCCCCATGGAAAATGCCTGCAAGGAACCTCCCTGGGAGCCAGACTTTGCTCTCCTCTCCAAGGCAACGCCTTACCAGAGCTTGGGCTGAAGCTTCTGTCCATCACAGATCAAAGCTGAGCCTGGTCCTGCCTGGACCTTGCAGGTGACTCCCAAGAGTCTCGTTTCCTCTCCTCATACTCCAGCAGCCTTTTTTAAATCCACGTGGGGTTTACAGCACTTTACAACATCTAATCAAATAGTCTTTACTGCCATGTGTAATCCCACGCCTGCAATAGATGAGCTGCTGCTGGAGAAGGCTCCTAAAGCACTTCATCATCTCACCTGTTTCATCCGGGCACATTACATCATCCCAACGCTGATTTCAGCCAGTTATTTCCTTCTAGAAGCAGAAATGCTCACCTGGGCTTCCAGATCCCTGGAGGTTTGCTTTGAATAGGCAGAGATGCTTCCAGGTGGCCCATGCATGTCCTGCTCAGCCAGGGGGAAAATATTTCCCTGGGGAAAATACCTGGTAGAGGAGCTGGAACCTCAGTCAGATCTTGATCCTGTTCTAGTTCGGGAGCTGTGTGTGTGCACCAGTCCCAGTTTTAAGGTCTGAGGTTTGCCTGAAGCATCTGAGGGTATGTTTTATTTGATAAAAACTTAAAATACACTGATATTGGTGACACCAACCCCATTCTGAATGTGTTGGAGACATCCCTGGCAAGTTCCCTGGGGTGCTTGTAGCCCAGCCTTGCTGCCCCAAACCCATGAATATCTTTAAAGTGTATGTGGGGGGTTTTTAAGCAGGAAAAAGTGTTTACTTTCTGCCTGCTCCCAGAAAGGCTGAAGGAGAGCCAGGTTTTTAAAGGGTCAGTGCACAACCAGCTGCTTGTGAGGCTGTAAATAAGAACTGTCTGCACCCACACCTTTGCCCAGGGACAGAGACTTGGCTTGGCTTTGCTCTGTCAGGCATTTGGCAATACCTAAACCCCCTTGGTTTGCCTATCTCCTCCTGGCATCTCTTCTTGAGGTTTAGTTACTTATTCTGTGATGAAACATAAAGCAAAGTTCTCCACGCTCATGCTCAGGAGAAGCACTTTGTTTAAAGTTTCAACTGCTGCTTAACTCACTGGTCACACAGGTTTAACTTTAATAGGGCTCCTGCATTTGAAATCTCATCTAGGATGGTGTCACAAGGGAAAAAAATAATTTTTAAATAATAAATTTGTGCATATCTTTGGTGGGCCTGAAGGGTGCTGTCCTGGTAGCCACTTCTACCCCTAAGGGCTTGCTCCCTCATCCAGCCTGAGGGATATACCAGAAATATTGGTGTTTCCCATGGTTAAGGTGTTCTGGAACAGTGTGATAGATAAATCACAGAATCATGGAATGGTTTGGGTTGGAAGGGATCTTAAAGATCATCTCATTCCAACCCCTAACTAGGGTCACAGTTCAGCTCCTGGTTATTCCTCACGTTGAGGGAGTCAGCAGTAACCACAGCAGGGCAGGTTTTAACCAAATTACTTGTGAATTGGAGTGTTATGGGGCTTTTGGCTTCTTTCAGTAGTTGTCTTTACTTTGTGCTCATAATAATACTTCAATGTATACTTAATTCAAGCTTTTCCAGTGAGAGGGGGGGGATTGTATTTAAAAAAAAAACCAACAAAAAACCCAAACAATCACAGCAGCATTTATTTTAGAGTCTGCAAGCAAAGTGATTTCCAGTTTGGCATTAAATCTTTTTCAAAACAGGCAAAAGGAGGGTAAATCTGCAGGTGGAGGTGGCTGCTGTCCCCTCTTGGGCCCTCTCTGTCCCTGAGCCATCCAGGCAGGCCAAGCCTCTGCTTCCCTCCTCGAGCATTAATGGCCTTTCTAGGAAGCACAGCATAAATCCAGTGAAGCGCTTAAGCAAGTCCCAGCTTTAGGTATATAAGTGTTTTTGGTGGATTTATGCTTTTTAAAGTGGGTGGAGATTTTAGAGGCTTTGATTTTCCTCTCAAAGGCTGGTGAAAGTCTCTTTCTCCCCCTGTCTTCTCCTGAGGCTGACTTTACACTCCAGTTCTGTGCAGGTTTATGTCATGTTTAACTTCAGGGTGGTGTCCTGATGAGGTGCTGGTGTCCATAAGTCAGGTGGAAGCTGAGCCAAGCTTCCAAGAGGAGCTCCTGGCTGTCTCCATCCACCACTGTGCTGAGTGGGCTGAGGAGAGTGCTCGGGGAGGAAAGCAGAGATGGACTGGGTCATTTTGCTGCTCCCCTGTGTCCTTGTGGAATAGGAACTGCTCTTGAGCAGCTCTGTCTCCATCCCTTTCAAGTTTTTTATCCCTTTTTGGCCCTGGGAGTGTCCAAGGCCGGGTTGGATGGAGCTTGGAGCAACCTGGGCTAGTGGAAGGTGTCCCTGACTATGGCAGGGGTTGTGACAAGATGAGCCTTGAGGACACTTCCAACCCAAACCACTCTATGATTCTGTCAGTACAGGACTTTGAGACATGTTGTTTTCTCAGAATTCCTTGGGAAAAGCCCTGAAAGCTGCTCTGTGGGCTCTCTGGCCAAGGAAGAGAGGTTTGCTTCAGTTGTGCCTGTGTTCAAACTGCTGCTGCTCTGCCCTGCTGCTGTGCTGGAGGGCATCTCGTCACAGAGGGATCCCCTCAGGTGAACTTCACATGGAGCAAAAGGCTTTTCATGAGCAGCTCTTTATTTGGAGGCCAGCCAGGAGGGTTCCCATCCCTCTGCCCAACACCTCCAGTGACAGCTGAGGTGCTGGAGCTCAGCACCAGCACTGACAGATCCCATATTATTATTATCCACTGACAGAACCAAAAATAATTTGATTTGTTCTGAGGCGTGCTGGGGAAATCCCCAAATGTTGGAAAAGGAGTTGGCACTGTGATGGCTTTCAGAGAGGTTTTCTCCTGGTGCTCCCATGGTTCTCCTTCAAACATAGGGATGGTTCTGAGCTCAGAGGGGATTGTCCCTGCCCATGTGTATGAACAGGCAGAACTGAAGGTGAACACCTGCCTGAGGGGCAGAACTGGGAGGAAAACCCTCTTCTCCATTCTCATATCATGGTCTCTTAAAAGCCAAATCCTGCTGCTTTCCTGGAGCCTGCTCAGGTGATGGATTTGAGATGCTGTTCCAGCTGAAATGTGGAGATTTGAGTCCCTGCAAATGAGACTGTAATGAAGATTTATAAACCAGCTTATTTGCTGTTGAGGGATGGAAGGTGTTACCAGACAGGGCAAAAAAAAAAAGTGCTTTAAGGGCTAACTGGTAGTTTTGAATGGTGGTTTTTGCAGGGAATTCAGATTAATAAGGTGTCCTCTTGGAATGGAGTGGGAGAAAGCAGCGGGGATCGGAACTGCTGAGTCAGCAGTGGGTAATCCATTCCTGCCCTTGCCAAATCCATACTGGCTCACAACAAAAGCCTCCCTCCAACTCTTATTTAGTCTGTATTTCTGTGATCTGCTTTCCAAACGCTGCAAAGGCTGGGGTGCACCCCGGGGTGCCGACAGAACAGCACCTGGATGCGGGGTGGATTTAGGAGGTTGGATTTCTGTGCTTGGAAATGTAACCCAGCCAAAGTTCGCTGCCTCACACGTATTTTGTCCTGCTCGGCCGTGAATCCACGTAGCTGTAGGATCTTATTTTTTGCCTCTTGTGCTTTCTTTCTGCCAGGCAAATGAGGTGACTGACAGTGCTTACATGGGCTCGGAGAGCACGTACAGCGAGTGCGAAACCTTCACGGATGAGGACACCAGCACACTGGTCCACCACGAGATGCACGACGAGGTGGAGACAGACAGTGCCATCGACTCCACCGTGCACTCGGAATTCACAGACCCCATCGAGGAGCCGGAGCACGGGTGAGTGGGAACAGCAAGGAGAGAAACCCACCGTGCAGGGCAGGAAACTGGGAGCAGACCAGGATCGAGGGAGACGCAGCCCGAGGATGTAAAATCTGAGTGGGCCGAGTCTGTCTTGCTGAAACTTGGTTTGTTCTTTGTGTTTGGAACTTTATGCAAGACCAAAATAGCTCTTCTTGAAAAATAATGGTAATAAGTAGGCTGCACCATGTGTAGGCTGTTTTGGAGCTCGGCCTGGCAATCTCTTTGAGTTAATCGTTGCTTGCCTTGGGAGATCTTCTGTACCCTCATTAGCATCTTTAGCCTCTAAAATAACTTCTCAGGTGATCCAAACACCTGAAAGACTTGCAGTTTTTAATCTTTCACTTAAACCAGAAACACGACATGTAATTTTCAAGTCAGGAGGGGAACTCATCCTATTTTTGTTTTCCCTAAAAACATGCGTGTGCCCTTTGATGTGCAACCACCTCCTGTAATAACTAGTTTGAAACTTGTGCCTGAAGCACAGAAACGTGAGCTGAGATCTCCTTCCCTGGGTCTGAACCGCTGCTGGCAAAACTGCTCCTGGGCCCACCTCATTTTTGGGGGAAAAGGGGAGTTTGGGGTGAAACTGGGATGCTGGCAGGAGGAAGGGAGGGAATAACTCCTTTAGGATCGTGGAAACATGGAATGGTTTGGGTTGGAAGGGACCTTAAAGTCCATCTCGTTCCACCCCCTGCCATGGGCAGGGACACCTTCCACTAGCCCAGGTGCTCCAAGCCCTGTCCAACCTGGCCTTGGACACTTCCAGGGATGGGGCAGCCACAGCTTCTCTGGGCAACCTGTGCCAGGGCCAACCTGGTTGGTGACCCAAGAGCACCAAAACCTCTGGAATCATCTTTGCTTAAGGTCTGATAAAGTACAGAATTACCTTTGACCAAAAACACATCGCCCAGGCTTGATGCTCTGGGGAGTCCTCACAGTTCTCATTGTTTTTTTTGGAAACACCAGGCTTCCCTCCCGCCCCAAAATCCATCTGGGAACGTCAGGGATGCAGCGAGCAGCGCTGCCGCGGCCTCGGCGCCGGGGCTGAAAGGGTGCCGTGGATTAGAGCAGAAATGAGATTATCTGGCCTGGCTCTTCTCACCCCAGCGCCTGCAGCTCAGTGACAGTTAATTTGGGACATAATCGGCCGTGAGCTCCGGGGCAGCGAGCGGGGGGACCCGGCGGGGCCATGGCGGCCTGCGTGCGCTCCCGGCCCCTGCCGAGGGTGACGTGCCTTGGATTCACCTGCCTGTAGGTACCAAATGCTTTGCTTGGGAACTCTTATCGTAAGGTGACGTTGTTCTTGGGGCTTCCCGAGTCTGGGCTCTCAGCACAGGAAGGATATAGACCTGCTGGAAAGAGTCCAGAGGAGGCCATGAAGATGCTCCGAGAGCCGGAGCCCCTCTGCTCTGGAGCCAAGCTGAGAGAGCTGGGGGGGTTCACCTGGAGAACAGAAGGCTCCAGGGAGACCTGAGAGCCCCTTCCAGGGCCTAAAGGGGCTCCAGGAGAGCTGAAGAGGGACTGGGGACAAGGGCCTGGAGGGACAGGACAAGGGGCAATGGCTTCCCACTGCCAGAGGGCAGAGTTAGATGGGATATTGGGAAGGAATTGTTCCCTGTGAGGGTGGTGAGGCCCTGGCACAGGCTGCCCAGAGAAGCTGTGGCTGCCCCATCCCTGGAAGTGTCCAAGGCCAGGTTGGACGGGGCTTGGAGCAACCTGGGCTGGTGGAAGGTGTCCCTGCCCAGGGCAGGGGGTGAGATGAGGTGGGCTTTAAGGTCCATCCAACCCAAAACATTGTGGGATTCTGTGATTCACTGCTGTTTCCAGTGTGGGTTTGGGAATGTCAGGTGTCCTTTGGGTGCTCTGTCCAAGCACAGTGGTACCTGTTGCCAGGTGTGTTAATTGTGTGCAAATTCCAGATAGCCAAAAATATAAGGAAAAGCTTCATTTGACTTAAGGATTTGAATGGTTTGAGATGGAAGTCTCTGGAAGTGTGTTCCCAAGGTGTTGAGGGTTGGTTTTGGTGCCATCAAACCCCACACAGGAGGGTGCAGAGCTCTTCCAGGGACCAGTCTGACCAGTGCAGGTGGTGGGCTGGAGCAGAGCTTCACCATCACTTCTCAGGAGCTCTTGAAACTCAACATACCTTAGGTGGTTTGAGCTTAAGTGGTCATTTAGGCTTTGTGTAGTAAAGATTACTTGGACTGTGGATCTTGAAGCTGCTGGAGCCCCCAGAGGTGAATAGGAAATACTGTTTACTGCTCAAAGCATCCTGGGCTGAGGGTTTCCAGGTGCCTGATCAGATCTGCTTCTGTACGGTGCTTGTCAAACCACAGCCCCAGATTTAGAGATCTGGGCTTGGGTTTTGCTTCTGAGTTAACAATTCCACCCCCTACCTTCTATTCCTGGAGAGATTTCCGCTGGTTTTGGTGGTGGTGTGACTCACCATAGGGACGGATGGGTTCTGGTGGATCTCACTGTGGAATAAAAAGGACACAAGGAGGATGTGCAGATGCCCACAAGCTGGACTGGATTTATTTGTGGTTAAATAGAGATCTGGAGGGTTGACATGTTTTTATTAGCGGGATAAGGGCAAATCCTTCGGATGGTGCAGGTTTTTGTCATAAATGGCTTATCTGTAATCTTTTCTTCTCTCTGGTTTAGCCCAGCAGTCTGGTCACACCCCCATTTCCCTCTGGGATGGGGGTGTATTCTGAGGTACCAATTTTTATAATAATGCAATATTTTATTTTTAGCACTGAATTTTGGAGAGGAGTGCAGTGCTGGTCCCCCCCAGCACATTCCTGTGGCTCAGAGCCACATGGATGCTTTCACAGCCTGGTCCTTACAAACACCCCCTGCTTCATTTTAAAACCTCCACAGTCCTGGGCAGGAAAGTCCTCTGGGGTGGCTTGACTTGGTGGTGAGGCCCTGGCACAGGTTGCCCAGAGAAGCTGTGGCTGCCCCATCCCTGGAAGTGTCCAAGGCCAGGTTGGACGGGGCTTGGAGCAACTTGGGATAGTGAAAGATATCCCTGCCCATGGCAGGGGATGAAACGAGATGAGCCATTCCATGATTCTGTGGCTCCATGCTCTGCATGTGCCAAGGTGTTTTCAGGGGTGATGACTTAGTGCAGAGCTGTGCCCCCTGAGAAGTAAGGACCTGTGCTGGGTGTGTTTAGGATTTACACTGAAGCTTAACATGCTCCAGCCTTCCGGATCCGGGGCTGAAAACACATGGAAGAGCATTCCCCACTCCACGATTGTCACGTACAGCATTTACCCAGCAGGAGCAGGGAAAGGGCTCCTTTGTCTTGGGGGGTCTGTCCCTGCTGGGTTTGGCAGCTGCCTAAACCCCCCCTGACACCAATCCCGCCGGGGTTGCGGTGTTAAACCCCGGGGATAGGCCCTTGATAGGATTAGGCAGCAACAGGCAGGAGTGAGCCTGGCACACAGGCTGCCCATGGAACTCAGAACATATTTTGGATGTATCTGGGACATGCCAGATTTTTCTCTGCCGTGCTTTTGGTTGGGCAAAGGCTTGTCATCAACCCTGCGAGTCTGAGTGCCCCCGAATCCCAGGTTGCAGCTGCCAGGGGAGTTTGCATGGGAAAAACTTGGTTTATTGGGGAAAAAAATCGCTGCAAACTTCCTGGTGGTGCCTGGGCTGCCCCTGCAGTGCTCAAGGCACAGGGTGAAGGTCTCCTATTCCTCTGCTGGAATGGGGGGCATGGCTTGGAAAGGGCATGTCCTGGATGTAATTGGAAAGGTGGCTGTGGCACCCACCCTCTAACGTGTTCCCCTCTGTTCCCACAGATCCCACCCACATGACCTGCCCCTGGGCTCGGACCTCAGCCACTCCATCGTCACAGTCATTAGTGGAGAGGAGCACTTTGAGGATTATGGAGAAGGGAATGAAGCAGATTTGTTCTCGGACAGCTTGTGTAATGGGGAAAGCAGCTTTAGCAGCTCCTCGTTCCTCTCTCCCAGGTAACTCAGCCCTGGCACTGTTCCACCAGGTTCAGTTGCTCAGTGCCTTCACTCTGCTTTGTGGGAGAGGGGTTTCCTTGGGCTTTGCAAGACAGGGGTCCTGGAAAACTTGGGATACTGCAGGATAATCAGCTCAAAAATGAAAGAGGAATTCCCTTCCCCGGTGTTTCTTTTCCCTGACTAGTGCCCATCCTCCCCTCCAGTGGCTGAAGCCCAGGAGCAGGTGGAAGAGGAGTCTGTATGTCCATGCATCACATTCCCAGTCCTGTTAGGGGTGTGGCTCCTCACAGAATCTTCCAGAAGAGAAAACCATTGTGCAGCTTTACCCCTGGTGCTGCTGGATGACTTTTCTTTCTCTTTTATACTTGTATTTTGGGCTTTGATCCCATGCTTGGTTGGATCTGCATGAGCTGTGGCAGCATTCCTTCTCTAAGAATATGTGGACCAACAAGCAGGTTGTAGCTTTTTCTCCTTGCTTTAGAGTCTGAAAACAGGAAAAAGTCCATTTTCCAGCCCGTGCAGGGTGGACTGAGGAGGTAGTGTGATGGTACAAACCCCATCAAGACTTACTTTCTAAGGAAAATAAGTAAAAGCTGGAATATCATCCAGTGCTGCAACCCACAGGTCCCTGTGATGACAGATAACACTGGGAATGTGTTTTTCCATTGGAAGCACAGGGCAGGAGTGATCCCTGCCAGCCAGACACCTTTGCTGAAGACAAGAACATACTTTTTCCCTTTGGGATGATACATTTGTGCCTTTCTGCAGCAGTGTAAACTTCTCATAACTTTGTTTTTGCTGTCTGCCTGTTTTCTCATGACTTCCCAAAGCCCTTTGGAAAGTTTGGGCAATTCTGGGTGCAGGGAATTGCTGCTGTCAAACCTCCCCCCCCTGCCCTGTGCTGCAGGTCAGGGCTCATTTCTTCTTGGTGCTTGAAGGTGTTAACTGCAATAGAGTTGCTGTAAAGAATTCCCAACCCATTCCTTCAGGAAACCAGTGTTCCATGCTGGGATACTCTGCAGAGGGAAGGGCACAGTCTCTCCTCCATGCTTGTCCTTTGCACCATCCAGGAATGCTGAGGAGAGCTGGCTGTACTGGTGCTGTGGCATAGGAAGAATTCTCTGATTAAAAACCAGCCTTGATGTTCATTTTTTCCTTGAGGATGGACTTCCAGCCTCATCCAGAAGGCTCCTGACCAGAAAATATCCAGCTAAAGGACCTTTACAATCAGTTAAACTTCTTCTTTAGTCTCAGTCCAGAGCTCCCAGTCTGCCTGAACTCCCGGTGTTCCAGTTTTGCTCTGTCAGGCACCATCTCTCCTCTGCTCTGTCTCTTTGGATCTTACCCAAATCTTATCCCATCTTCCCTGTGCTGGGAGGGGCTTGCTCAGAAAAGGCCCATGGTGGTTTGTGCTGGAGACTCTCTGCTGGCTCTTGCTGGGGAGATAAACCCTGCAAAACCTCCAGGGTCAGGAATGTGGGTCTGTTTTGCCTTGTGCCTCTCAGGTCTGCCCTCACCTTGGGTTATCATTGCATGTGTGAAGGTCCTTGGCTGATCATTCCCTGCAATTGTGTCTTCTTGACTTAGGACAAAGAGGAGTGACTTCCCACTGCCAGAGGGCAGGGTTAGATGGGATGTTGGGAAGGAATTCTTCCCTGTGAGGGTGGGGAGGCCCTGGCCCAGAGCATCTGTGGCTGCCCCTGGATCTCTGGAAGTGTCCAAGGCCAGGTTGGACAGGGCTTGGAGCAAAGTGGGCTATGGAAGGTGTCCCTGCCCATGGCAGGGGGTGGGACAAGGTGGGCTTTAAGGTCCCTTCCCACCCAAATCACTCCATGATTCTGAGCAGCCCTGGTGTGTTTGAACACAGTGAAACCTGAAAGAACCACAGGCTGTAGTTTGGCTGTAATTTGAATACAAGGAACTGTATCACTTGTAAAGGGCCACATCTCCACACACCCTTTCCATGCTACAAGACAAGAGTCTCTGAATGGGAATGATGTCAACAGATTTCCCTGCCATGGCTCCAGATTGTCACCAGAGGACTGACACAAACCCCAAGAGCCTTCAGGGAACCCTGTGAGATGTTGAATTTCCCTGCTCAGTCCTTGCATGTGTGTGTTTGTGATCCATCCTCTTGGGTTGCCACCTCTTCCCTGGCACATCCTTGCGGTAGGAAAAGTCTGTTGGCAGTGCTTGGTGGGAACTGAAGGGAAAAGCCCCTCACCTGTGCTGTCAGGGAGCACCGATGGCCTGTGGAAGACAAATGTTGCTCCAGGAGGTGGAGGGAGGCAGCAGGAAGGCTCTGTCTCGTGGAACTATAGAACATGCTGAGTTGGAAGGGCTCCATCAGGATCACTGAGTCCATGGAGTGTTGGCTCTGTGCCACAAGGGGTAGGTGGGGACACCCTAGGGCACAGTGGGGCTGAACTCCCACCCACTCAGCGGGCACGGAACCAGCACAGCCAGAGGCCAGGGAGATCTTTACACACCCCAGGAGCTGCCAGGCTGGCCCAGGGGTTCTCCTCCACACCTCTGTTCTTATTTGTGTTAATGCTGGTTAGATTTGGGTTCCCACCTTGCCCAGGGAGCACCAACCTGGGAGGGAAACTTACCCACCAGCACCCAGAGAAGGGCACATCCCTTCCTCAGGTGTCTCTCGGCTGCTGTCACCTCTTCCCTGCACAAAGCCTGAGCAACTAATGTGTGTCCTGCTGGGAACGGATTATCCCAGGTCCAAACCTGCCCTGGAGGGCAAGGGGAACGGTTTTCAATTTAATTTTTTTTCCAGGAATGGGAAGAGATGAGTAATTTGGCATTGACTGGTGAACAGTTGCCTGCCTAAGGGGGCTTGGAAATACTGTACAGACAGCACAGACTCCAGGCCTGACCCTGGGGGATGACCCTGACACCCCACTGCCCCTAAAATGGGGCTGAGCCAGGGGACCCCCGGGATGTCCCACACCCTCAGCATCCCCCAGGCCAGGACTTGCTGATGTGTATCTTATCCTGGGATTGCCTGTCCCTCTCGGATGCCTGTTGGTTTTAAGCTTGCTTGTGTTTGCTCACACCTTTACCTGTCTTTCTTATTGAACTGCTTTGATTTTTCACTATTAACCTTTCTTTGATTCAAGTCCGTGGCTTCCAGAAGTGTATTTTCCTACAGAAAGGATTTGTGGAATCTATCTGGCCCCAAATTAACACAAACCCTGTGCTGTTCAGAATCCCTCTGTCCCATCCAGGGCATGTCAGGTGGAGAGGTGACTCACAGCTTCTCAAGATGTTCAAGTCCCCCGATGTCCTCTTTCCAAATGCCATTCCCTACAGAAAGGCAGCACTGCTGCTTGGCTTCTCTGAGCTTTACTTTGTAGGGGAGAAGGGTTGAACTGCAACTGCCCATTTAATCTTAGCTTAAAAGCACTTTGCAGTGAAAATCTGACACTGTGCATTGCTAACAGTGGGTCCACAGCAGCACAGCTGCTCTATCTTTAAGGCATCCCATTGGAAAATGGGCCCCTGCCCTGGGGAGCCTGTTCCAGTGCCCGACCACCCTCTGGGGGAAGAACCTGATATCCAGCCTAAACCCCCCTCAGATTCACCTCTGGCTCACAGCGCCCAGTCCTGCCCTTAATTGGGCAAACCAGGACCATTGCTGGAGCCTCCTGAGACAGATTACCTGGAAAATTGTGTTGCAAAGTAAACTTTGTAGTGGTGTAGGTTTGTAGGAAGCACTTACCTCACCTGCCCTGGGCTCTTGGGGTTCCCCCACTGGAGCTGACTGGCATAGGGGTTTGGAAACTGCTGGGAGTGATGGGAGTGTTGCTCATTATAAATCTAAAATATTCTAAAAAATATAAATATCTTTTTAGAAGCAATTGTAAATTTTCTATCTATTGCTATAAGCAACCCCACAGTCACTGCGACTTGGCTTCTAAAATCAAGGTGGGAGTCGACCCTGATGTTTCTAATTGCAAATCTCACGTCTCCCACCGAGAGCTCCCCTGCCCCACCGTACCCTCAGCTTGTGGAAGCCCCGGCTGCAGCTGCTCCCCGTGGTTCTGTCCTGCTGACCTGACCCTTGTGATCTCTCTAGCGCCAATCCGCTCGCTGCGAAACTGCACAGCATTCTCGCAGATGAAGCTTTTGAGTTTTACTGTAGCCAGTGCCACAAACAAATCAACCGCCTCGAGGATCTTTCCGCTCGCCTGAATGATCTTGAAATGAATAGGTAATTGTGGCCCCCTTTCAGTGTTGGGAATGATGTTCTGGGAGGGAAGACTCTCCTTGTCTCGCCCAGCTTTCCCTTTGCTGCGTCGGTCGGTTCCTGTGACAGGGGATGAGTTTCACTCAGGGTGAGACTCTGCAGGTGGGGAAGGTGGGGATGATATTAATGAGGGGGAGCAGAAGATGCCTTTAATCCAAGCCCCAAAAGCTGGGAGACAAGGAGCGTGTTCCCTTCTTCTCTGGGCAGCCCCGTTGCATGTTCTGTGAGTGGTGGGGGCTCCTCCTGGCACTGGAAGCCATGAGCTGGTCACGTACAGTATTTCTGTCACCGAGGACAGACTGGGAGTTGGAAGCACAGCTGAACTGCTGGTTCAACCTGGAAGGGCAGGGCCCAGCCCATCCTCCTGCTGCAGCAGTATCCTGAAGGAATCAGCCTGCTCCATGGGGCTTGGGAGCAGTCAAATCTTGTCTCACCCAGCTTCCCCCACTGCCTGTGCCACCATGGGCCGGGGAGGCATAACAGACACCGGGATCTTTGTGTAGGAACTTGGTGAGTTTTGGAGTGTCATCCTGGAAGTCTACCAACCAGCAGCTGGATTTGAGAAGTTGGGGAGGAATTTCTGCTTGTTGGTTTATTCATTCAGACCTTTTGCAGCCCACTGGGTGGAAGGATGGTGGCATTAATGTAATCATTCTTCTCATGGCAGGTGGGCCTCTTCAAGACTGGTTTTTGGTCATGCACTTGATTCCTGTCTGTCCTCTGCAGGGATAGTGTGACCTGGGAGCTCTCCTGGGCTGTATAGTTATGAGAAGAAAACTGGAAAGCAAATAGAAGCTTGAATTTAATTATTTTTAATGAAAAAATAATGTCTCTGTTTTCCTTTCTCAGGGAAATAGTTGTTTTTGCTGTTGGGGGCCTTGAGGGTCAGTGATGGGTCTCAGGTCATGCAGTTACTATGGAGAACACTGGTTTTCCCTGGATGCACCAGTAGCCTCACTCCATTTCAGTTTTTTCCCACCAAATTTACCTGCAAAGCTGAACTAACACCTCGGGAGCTCCTGTGATGTGTGGCATTTCCAGTGGAGGTTTCCCTGTCCCACGGTCACAGCGGGAATTCCGTAGGTTTTGATTTGACACGTGAGGAGGTGCAATTTCCTGAGCACAGATATCCTGGCAATATGTTCCAAGGGGCCTGGTGGAAGGGGCAGTGCCTGCCCTCTCTGTGGTGAGGATGAGAAGTGCCACGTGCCGTGTGTGGGACAGGACAGGACCTGTTGTTCCCCCCAGCATCACTGGTGACGTGAAGGCCTCAGAACAAGGGACAAGTTCCAGACTGCAGACGACCAGAGCAGTAGGAACTGGACCAAAATCTGGGACAAGCCTGAAGACACCAGCCCCAGGGGATTCTGGCAGCTGGGGTGAAGCCCAAAGCACCCTGTAACAGCCTCACTCTTAAAAACTGTGGCCTTACAGACAGTGTTTTATCCTTGTAATAGACTGGGGAGCCTGCTCCCAGCATTGGGGTGCTGCTTCCCGAGCCCACAGCACAGGAAAGCAGGGAATAATCCTCAAGGAGCTTGGGATGGAGGAGTTTGTGACTGTTTTGTTTCAGTGCCCTTTCAGAGCTGGTGTCTCACCCTCAGCAGGTGCTGGCATCGCTTCCCGATGAGCTTTCTGCAGAGAAAAATATTTCCCCCCGTGCTGGGGACATTCCTTACAATTCCTGGCAAACACCAGGGCCTGACCTCCTCCCCTCGGGTGGACGCCAAGCGGCCTTGAAGCCCAGCCAGGAGCAGCTCTTGTGCTCCCTGGAAATCTGGGATTTGAGGATGCACTTTGACGTGAGGGCTGGTCACCCTGACAACACCCCCCGGCCGGGCTTTGAGGGTTTTTCTTACAAAGAAAATTGTCCTGAGCTATTTTTAATTCTTCCTTCCAAGAACTGATAGTGCAGGCAGGAATGAACTCCCAGATGATTTTATTTATTATTTTTTCCTTCAGCTGAGCTGAACACCATGGAATGCAGTTGCTGCTTCTCCACTCAGGTTCTCCCTTGCCATCACTGAGTGAGGATTTGGTACCAGTGATGTAACCCAGTGGCATCTGTTTGACACCAGCCTGTTGGCAGATGAGGAGGGAGATCCAGGCCCTGCTCACTTCACCAGCATCAATCATGACCAAAAGAGTGGAAGGAGTGTCTTAGAAAGGAGCTGTTTCTGGAAAAGGCTGTTTTTTTCTCAGCAGGGAGGGCCTGCAGCCCATCCTGAGGGGCTGGGACAGGGTCACACAGACCTTGGCTTCCCTACCCTGGTCACGCTGAGCATTAGCTCAGCCCTGACCGCCCTGGTATGGTGGTGGCAGCTGCCTTGGACACGGAGCCAGGGGAGTGATCTCCGTCAGTTATCCCTGGAGAGGAGAGCTCTTCCCTCTCCCCAGCCACTCTAACAGCCTGAAATCCAGACAGGGGCACCATCAACACCTCCTAAAACATCTGAGGTCCATGTAGGCAGCAGTTCTCTGCTGATCTGGAGCCAAACAGGAGGATAATGGTTGTGGGAAGGGCAGAAGGATGGACGTGCCCCTAGGCAGGCAGGAACTGTTCCCTGTCCCCCATCCAGGGGGCAGGAACCCGGGGGGATGCCAGGGGAGGCCTGGGGTGGTGTGGGGTGCAGGAGACTTGGCTCACTCTGCCATCAAAGCCAGGCTGAAGCCCCCCACCCTCCCCACTATTATTAGCACTTTCCTGGGGGATCAGATTTCAGGCAGGGATCAGTGGCAGAGGACAGTGTTGTGGGGGCAGTCAGGTCTTCTCCAGCATTATTCCATGTGGTTCGTTGTCTCTGTGGTGTTAAATCCATGAGTGGTCCCTCTCCTGCCCTTTCCAGGGGGGCTGGGGGTGCATGCTGTGGGCGCTCCGTGCCAGAGCAAAGGATGTGCCCCGGAGTCCTCGCAGTTTCCTGTTTCCCTTGCTCTCCACTGTCAGCTCTTCTAACTCTTTCCTGTTTTTTCTTCATTTTGCAGCCCAAATAAAAGACTCTCCAGCAAGAAGGTGGCAAGGTAAGCCCATGCTCCTGTTCCTGCTTGCTTGATCCGTGCGAGCTGCTGGCTCCGCGGGAGGAAGGCTCAAAATAAGCTTGAATTGCCTTATTTCTGGATTTATTCCATAGCCCTGGGGAAAAGTGGGTTTAATTCTGATACAGTTTTTCTGAAGTGGGTTTTCTCACCCATGCACACAGCTGGAGGCTGCTGGTTTCTTCCAGGACAAAATTGGGGTGCTTCTCCTCCCTCTCCGTCCTTCAGTGCCATACCAGGGGTGTGAGGAGCAGAGTCCCTAGAAGGATTTGTTCCCCTGGGGTGTCCCCTCCCCAGTGTCACCGTGGTGGGTCTCTAGGGGAGGGGGATTTCTCCAGCACCCAGAAAAAATCCAACCACTTTAGACAGTTCTTGGTCCTGTTTTACTTCGCTTAGCACTTGAGTTTGTGGGACCAGCCCCCCTCCCCCCTCACTCTGGGGCATCCTGGGGGGCTGCAGGTAACCCTGGTTTAATGGTTTAACCCTGATTTAAACCCAGGTTTAATGCTGTGTTGCTTCTGTCCTGCACAACCACCTTGTCGTGGTCACATTTTCCTTGTGGGCATTTTGATCCCTGAGTGCACAGGGATATATGATATATTCAGGCAGCTTGCTCTGAATCTCTGGGGCAGAGGATCCATCCATCCCCTCTTGGTGACACCTGGTGCTTTCCTTTCCCAACTTCCCCATCCCTCCTGTTCCCGTACCATCAGGATTTTAAGGATAAACTGGGTCATACCTCTGCTGTCCTGCCTCTGCTCTGCTCGGGAGAGAGATTTCCCTCTGCACTTGTTGGCTTTCTCTTTGCTTGTTTCCAAGCAGCACAGGGACACTGTGGAGGCACAGACAGCTCAGTTTGGGAATATTCATACCCTGTGCCCTGGCACTCAGCTCCCTGTGCTGATCCTGTGCCTCTTCCTCCCTCTGTGCTCTCACACCTTTCCCTTTTCCATTTTTCCTGTGGTCAGCAATCTCCCCTGGTGTGATTTCCCCTCCTGGAAAGGAAGCAGCTCCTTGATATTACATTTCCTACTTCCAGTCAGCTTACTTTCTAGAGCTTTGTTAAAAACACTGGCAGGAAAGAGGGTTGAAGGGAGCAGCCAGCCCCCAGGTTTCCTGTTTTAGGACTAGTTTTTGTCCTGTGGCAGAGATAAATAAGGGAGGATTTGAGTTAAAGTTTTGGAAATGGAGGCTCCCTGTCTTTTGGGAGATTGAGCCCTCCTGGCCCTTGGCAAGATGCCATTCTGAGGCTGGGACATGTGGGCTTGGGTAAATATTGGTTAATTCAAGAGCAGTTGGGTTTAGTTTGTGATAAGGTGAGAGATAACAGGGCATTGCTGAGCCAGATCCTTAAGCACAGCTCAAAGCAAACCCTTTGTTGTAGATACTGTAATTACTGAATAATCCCAAAACATTTTAAAAGATCGATTTTGTTTTGGTTAGGGCTCTCTCCTCATTTTTGTTATCTGGGTTCTGCTCGTGCTGCTTCAGCCCTGCTGTGCTCGGCATGATTTAAATGACAAATGTGCCCGAGACTTTAAAATCTAAATATATACTGAGGGTGAGGATGCAAAATGAGACTGGGCCTTGGCTGTGGTCTCTTGGTAAATGCCAGTTGTGCTTGTGAGTATTGGCATGGGCATATTGTGCAGTGGGATGAATTTGAGAGCCAATGTTACAGATTCCTAGGGAAAACAGAGGTTCAGAAGAGACCTTTGTGGTTTTCTCATCCATCTCCTGCTGAAAGCAGTGGGAGGGCAGAGTGTTTTCCTCTTGGTAGCACCTGCCTGTGGTTCCAGAGCTGGACTGCACCACCCTCCCCATGGCAGTAGCTCTTCCCTGTGCCATGAGGTGCCGGAGCTGATCCACAGCGATGCCACGAGGGTGGTGCCCAATCCAGCTCCTCCCCGGGGTGTCCTTTAGCTCCTCACCAAGCTGGGGACGCTGGTGTAGCAAGGCCTTGCTAATGATTAGCTCACCCTGGGCTGTCCCAGGTGGGCGGGGGTGTTTTGCAACAGCTTTGGGGGGTTTTGTCCCCCTCCCTTTCTTCCACACCTTATCAGTGTCAGAGCCAGTACTCTGGCCTGTGCTGGCTAATCCACGGCCTTGGGATGTTCGTAAAGAAAGAAAGTGGAAAGAGGGAGCTCTTATCTCTTCCCATTCCAAAGAGCAAGAGCAATGATCCCGGTATGAAGTCCCAGGAGCCGTGTCCACGTCCGTGCTCCCTGTTACCCCTGTTCTCCGGGTGCTCCCAGGTGCCAGACTTCAGGGAGAGCTGGGTGGTGAGGGGGACAGCTGTTCTGCCAGGGGCCTGCCCACACCTTCCTGTGCTGGAAATCCAGTATCCCGAGGGGCAGTGCTGCTAAATCCCTTGGGAGAAGGCGGTGGTGGCTGCGGGGGGGCAGGAGGTAGCTGTCCCCCGATGTCCCCATGGCCGTGATGTTGGCGCTGATGCCGGTGCTGCTCTGGGTCGGGGTGGTCTGTCTCTGTTTCAGGCAGCTGCACCAGACGAGCTCGCTGGCCGTGGGGGTGATGGAGGAGTCCTACCAGGACAACCTGGAGTGTACGGACGAGGACATCACGGACAAGGTGAGAGGCTTCCTTTCCTGGCCGTGCTCTGCCTGTGCCATCAGGAGAACGCTGATTTTATGGTGGTCCTGCTGGGGTTTTTTTGAGGTGCTAAGGGGTAAGGATTATGGGACAAGGTGGGAGCAGGGCAGGAGCACAGGGGAGCAGATTCAGTGCCTTTCAGTGCTCCCAGATCCACAGGCAGGGCCAGGCTGAAGCTGCTCTGGGTAGGTGGGTGCAGGTGGGACATAGAAAAGCCATCGAGGGGATGGAGGATGAGAGCACTCCAGGGATTGCAGAGCTCCTGTGCTGGGTCAGGAGGTGACACTGAGCCTTCTCCAGGGGTGGTGGCTGTCCCAGCATGTCAGGAGGAGGGAGGGCTGTTTGCAGGCTGCATTTTCACTTCTCCTTCACAAAACAAGATGTTCTCAAATTCTGCTTTTTGGAGTCAATTCGCCTGATGCGAAACAAGAACTTCCTTTCCTTGCACACTCTGCTTGTGCCATCAGGAGAAGCTGATTTTGTGCTGGGCCTGCTGGATTTTACTGGGGTGTTACAAGAAAAGAGTTATAGGATAAGACTGGAGCACAGGAAAGCTTTTGTTTTGAGCACCCCTACCTAAAAATAGAGGAAAGAAGCCATGGAAAAGAAGGAGAATTAAAGATAGGTGAGTTGGGGCTTGTGTAAATGTCTGCTGCAGTCCTGAAACTCCTTGGAAATGGCTTTTTAATTCTAGAATATGAATAGAGAGCTACATGTGAAAGAGAAATACATGTATGTGTGTGGCTGCACTTGGAAAGAATTATAACGCATAGAAGGCCTTTAAAAAAAAAATTAAAAATCAAACATTTTTCCAAGCCTAAAAATTGAAAAAAATACTCATATTCCCTAAGGCAGTTAACTTGGGAAACCATGGATGTAGTGCTGGGAAAGGCCTTGGTCTCTGCGTGGTTTTTTTAATATTCACATGTCTCTTGCCCTTCTCTGAGAGTGTTGGTTTGGGTTTTGCAGACGTGTTCCTAGTTGCCTCTCCTCCATGATTGTTTTGCATGGGTGTAACTGGGATTTGAATGAATAAAATGCAAATACAGCTGGAATAAAGCCTGCATAGGTACAGGGAGAAAACCCCTCACCTCTGATCCTTCCCCACCATCTGGCATTGACCCCTCCCATGTGACTTTATTTATCTGTAAATCCAGGGGTTCGGTCCTGTTCCAGGCAGTGGAGTATGGATGCAGCAGAGCTCTGGGGATCCCTCTGGGCTCCATTTAGGATGTCATCAGGCAAGGGTTGAAGAAAGGAAAGAATGAAGTGTTTGGCCCTGTGCTGGTACATGGGAGACATCCAAACGTGGGTGGAAAAGGATGTTTTATAAGGATGCTTCAAATCAGGGCTCGGCTGCCCCATCCCTGTGGCAACCCTCCACTTTTGAGGATGGTTCTGGGAGCTGCTCTGGCTTCAAGGAGGCCCATCCCAGTGGGTTCAGGGCCCTGATCCTCCCTGTCCCTCCCCACAGGTGGTGTTCCTGGAGAAGCGGGTGACAGAGCTGGAGAAGGACACGGCTGCCAACGGGGAGCAGCACAGCCGCCTGCGCCAGGAGAACCTGCAGCTGGTGCACAGGTGAGAGCCTGGCAGGGCATCACCCTGAGAGCCCCTTCCCACCCATGTCCTGCTGCATCCATCCTAAATCCTGAGCACAGCCCTGACCAGCTGCTAGAAAGAAAACTGACCCTATCCCAGCTGAAAGCAGGACACGGTGCCTCTTAGATTTTATATACATATGTTTTATGTGCTTCCCCAGCCCACGTGTCTGTCCTTAAAGGTCTCTGGAGCTCCAGGACTTGCCTTGTGGCTTTTTTTATACGTGGCTTTTAATGACCTGAAGCTGTGTCAGGGCAGGGTCAGGTTGGATCTCAGGGAAAGGTTCTTCCCCCAGAGGGTGGTTGGGCACTGCCCAGGCTCCCCAGGGCAGTGAGCACAGCACCAAGGCTGCCAGAGCTCCAGGAGGGTTTGGATGATACTTTCAGGAACAGGGTGGGATTGTTGGGGGGCCTGTGCAGGGCCAGGAGTTGAACTTGATCCTTCTGTGTCCCTTCCATCTCAGGACACTCTATTTTTATGTTTAGTTTTTCATTATGTGTTTATCTGTTTATTTATACATTAATATATAAAATATGCTTTCCTGCCCCTTTTGTCCTTCCCAAAAGGTCTCTGGAGCTCCAGGGGCTTGGCTTTTTTATACACAGGACACTCCAGAAAACCACAGGGAAGTCGTGCTGCTTGGAATGTGTCCCATTCCAGGGGGACACACACTTCATCCTTGCTTTCTGCAGACTCTTTCTGGCCCTTATTTCACCCAGTAGCTCTGGGTGGGAGGCACAGCCGAGTTGTTACAACCCATTTCCACCCTCCCCACAGCCAGCCCTGATCCCACTGCTGCCAGATCCTGGCAGGGGTGCAGCCCTTTGGATCCCACATGATGTAATATCTGTCTGTACTAATCTCCCAGGCCCCTCTCTGCCAGGGTGTATTTACCCTGGGCAGATAAACCCGGCAGGAGTTTATCTATAGGGCTGTAAGGCTGTTAAATAACAGTCGTGTCAGGGATCTGAGGGATCCAAACAAAGGTTTTCCTAAGCCCTCATAAACTTCGGAGTGAGGGAAATGTTTTCACTTGAGCAGCTTGGCCCAAAAATGCCAATTTTCTTTGAGTGGAGTAAAGTCTTGACTGTGCTCCCTGGTGGGGAGGAGTTGATTCATCTGGGAAAAGCCTTTGCATAAATTCCAGCTCCTTGCCTCATCCCTGGAAATGTTCAAGGCCAGGTTGGATGGGGCTCTGAGCAGCCTGGCCTGGTGGAGCCAGGCTGGGAGAGCTGGGGGGGTTCACCTGGAGAAGAGAAGGATCCAGGGAGACCCGAGAGCCCCTTTCAGTGCCTAAAGGGGCTCCAAGAGAGCTGGAGAGGGACTTGGGACAAGGCCCTGGAGAGACAGGACAAGGGGGAATGGCTTCCCACTGCCAGAGGGCAGGGTTAGATGGGACTTCGGGAAGGAATTCTTCCCTGTGAGGGTGGTGAGGCCCTGGCACAGGTTGCCCAGAGAAGCTGTGGCTGCCCCTGGATTCCTGGAAGTGTCCAAGACCAGGTTGGATGGGGCTTGGAGCAACCTGGGCTAGTGGAAGGTGTCCCTGCCCATGGCAGGGGGTGAAAATGGATGATCTTTAAGGTCCCTTCCAACCCAAACCATTCTGGGATTCTGTGTTGTTGCAGTTCTGGTGGCACACAGGGAATGGTGACCTGCAGAACATGTATTTTTTGTTGGAGACATGAAAGAGTGAGAAGAAGGAGGGTTGGGGCTGTTGTCATCTCTTACCTGGGTGATGAGATCAGTTCATGCTAGAAACAGGTGAAGGAGGATTTCTCTGCCATGGCCACTACAAGTGGAACTGCAACTTTGGGTCTTATTTGTGGATTAGATGATCTGAAAGATCTTTTCCAACCTCAATGGCTCCATGAGATTCTGATTGAATAGCTTGCTCAGGGTGACCCACAGGCTGTGGGTTACAGGATTGATTACTGTGCTTCCACCCTCACTTCCCCCTTTAAAGGATTCTGATGCAGCCTGGGGACTTAAAAAACTAGTCAGAGACAACACCAGCAGATAACATGGCTTGTTCTATTTTCTTTGCATGTTTTGCTCAGCATTTGGGTCGTTGGGGGTTTCCTGGACTGTCCCACTGCATCTGCTGGGAGGGAGTGAAGCTGTTGGAGATGATGATCAGTGTATTTTCCCTGAAATCTTGCTGTATTTCAGAATCTGCTTCTCCCAGCTCATCTGTGGGGTGGGAAAGGGCTGGGAAAAGAGCCTGGTCCCTCCCTTGGGATGGCAGTGGGCCCAAGGAATGCTTAATCCTCTCTCCTTTCTGCAGAGCAAATGCTCTTGAGGAACAGCTGAAGGAGCAGGAGCTGAGGGCTGACCAGACCCTCCTGGAGGAGATCAAGAAGCAGAGGGAGCTGCTCAGCAAAATGGAGAGGGAGAAGAGCATCGAGATCGAGAACCTGCAGGCCAGGTGGGGCTGGGTAGGGCTGGGTGGGGGCAGGTCCCCTGGACCCCCAGGTACACACTGGAATCAGTGCACAGGCCTTTGGGGGGACAAACTGAGGTGGACAGTGAGTTTAGGTTGTTCAAGGTGTAACTGAAGTCATTACAAACCCTGAATTTTGTCTATTTTTACCTTTGTTCCAAAATCAAGCTCCTCCATGGACCTCATCATGGATTCTTTATTTGAATTTCCCTGCTGCAGTTTAAATTTAGCTCTTGTCCTCTATCCATGTGCCTACCCACAGCATAGGTGAGGAGGGGGGTTGTTAGTGCTTGTTCCCATAAATGATTCCTGGAGGTACATTTGATGCCCAGATATTTTGCACCTTGATGGAAACAGGCAGGGAAAGAATTGTCCCAACAGCCAGGAAAGAATTGTCCCAGCCAGGGTGCTTTGTGCTGCCTCTTGGATTCCAAAGGAAATAGTGGGTGAGAGAGGTTTCAGTTATTTAACAGATTTTTTTTCAGCTTTTCTAGAATATTTTGCTGCTCAGCCCCTGCAGTGAATGAAAGATGAAAACAGTGGAGTTTTTTAACCAGTCACCATTACATGGATGTTCCTTTTCCTGGGACTGTGAACCCAAAGTCCTCTCTCAACCCCTGCTCTGATATCTCTGGTGCTGAGGCTTGTCCAGGCACTGATAAAGCCCTTGGAACAAGAAATAGCATTGGACCTGATAGAGAAGGGCATGACATTGGCTAACAGGCTTGTCAGGATCACGTGGGTGTCCCTCTCTTTCCCCTTAGAGCAGAAATAGTGGAATTCTCAGGGTTTGCTTTGAACAGATCCTGGTTTAATATTCCTGGTGGTGTTTTCCCTGTGTCTCCCCCCGTGGGATGCTGGGTGGGTGTCTCACAGCTGGTTCCCCTGGCAGGCTGCAGCAGCTGGATGATGAGAACAGTGAGCTGAGGTCCTGCGTGCCCTGTCTGAGAGCCAACATCGAGAGGCTGGAGGAGGTGAGGCCCAGGGGGTGCCCAGGACGGGCTGGGGATCTGGGTTTGGGGTGAAATTCTCATTTCCATGACTGTGAGATCCATCTGATGTAACAAACAAACCAGCTGCTTCCAGTCCCTGCAGACCCTGCTCTGGACCAGCACTATCCCAGACCACTGTCTGTGCAGGCTCCCACAGTTTAACTTGGAAGCTGGGAATAAAACCCCTAATTATTCCCTCTGTGTCAGTGGCTGCTCCTGAGGGGACTCATGCCCTCTTGTGGAAGCTTGTCCCCATCCCTGTCCCCTTTCCTGTGGCTCCAGTCCACTGCAGGGGAGGAGGAGGAGCAGATGCTTCATCTCCATATCCTGGGCTTTGCAAGTTGAGCCTTCAAAGATCTGTGATGTCTCCCAGACCTTCCTGCCTCCCACCCTGCTCAGGATCCAAGGTCATGCAGGTGCTGGTGGGACTGGGATGGGACACTTCCTGAGGCATCACAGTCCACGGATGGACAAGATCCTCATTTTTGGAGATAATGTGGGTTGTGGATGTGATGTCTGTACAGAGACTACATTTTGTTTCTGCCAAGCTTGTGGCAGAATTAAGGTTAAAATCGAAGTGAAATCAAACTTCCCTGCCCATCTGAAGGGTCTGGAGCTTTTTATCATGTTTAATCCCACGGGAGAGCGCTGCAGCTCCATCCCTCCTGACCTGGCCACAATGAAATGGTCTTCATCTACCAGGACCTTGTGAGCACAGTTGAGGCTGGGGGCAGGAAAACCTCTGTGGCTCTGAGGACAAATTCCCTGCCTTGGTTTGTTTCAGCCATGGGAAGTTGGTTGTGATCCATAATCTCCCTGCAGAGCTGCTCTTCTCCACAGTTAATGGGATTAAGGAGAAGCAAGAGGTGCAATCGCTGCCCCTTTCTGCCAAGGAAAAGCCCAGCTGATGAGCAGCTGCTTGTCCAGTGCCCCAAATCCGGATTTTGTTGTCAGTGTTCCTTTTCCTGCTGGTGTGGTGCCTTTGGTGCTCTGCTCCATGTACCAGGACACCCCAGACCCAGCAGCTGGAGCTGCCCCACAGAGCTGCTCCTCACCCCTTCGTGCCATGGGCCATCTATCACCAGCACTGGGTGAGGTCTTGGGGTATTTTTGGATTTCTGAGAGCCAAAACCTTTCCCATGAGGCTGGAAACCATGAACCCAGGGAGGGGGCGGTGAGCTGGTCACAGGCAGAAGGTGCTGCTGTACAGGGCTGTTGGCATCTTTACCTGCATCCCAAACCTTCAGCCAAGGCTTTGACAATGAGAAGGGGACAGAGCTGGGCTGTGTGTTTTACATCCTGGCTTGAACTGGTCCTGTTCCTTCTTGGATCAGCCCCCAGTTAAAACCTTTCATATCTGAAACCGAGAATGAGCAAAGGGAGGCAAAGATCTCGGGTCTGTGGCTTTTGTGAAATGCAAACTGAAGGAACCTTATGATTTAATGTCTCCCCTTGGCCTGGAGCCCCTGTGCTGGCCCCAGTCCCTCCCAGCCTGTCCCACGCCAGCATCACACTTCCCAGAAAATGGCACAAGTGTGGATATTCCTGTGGATTTGTTCTGGACTCATCTCGCACTGCCTCTCTCAGTGCTATTTTGGTGTGTGGCTGCTGAAGCTCTCAGGCTCCAGAGCCCTCAGCAAATGAAACCCCAGCAGGCAGAGCATCCTTGTCCATCAGGAGAGGATCCTTCCCTGCGGAGCTCAGCGAGCGCCGCGTTCCTGAGTGAGTGGGAAGAGCCCTGGCAGCGCCGAGCGGAGCCAAACCCTCTCACTGGTGCTTTTTGTGTCATTGCAGGAGAAGCAGAAGCTGCTGGATGAGATTGAAGACCTCACTGTGCAGCTCACTGAGGAGCAGGAGAAAAAGAGGAAGATGGGGGACAAGCTGAGTCAGGAGAGGCACCAGTTCCAGAAGGAGAAGGAGTCGACGCAGGAGGTGAGCAGAGTCTGTGCCTGCCACAACCCTGCCCTGCTAGTCACCAAAATTAGGGCTGTGTGGGAAAGTTGGCCTTGGCAGCCTCTCCAGAACAGGTATAGTGGGAGCACTTGGTGCTGCCTGGGCAGAAGAAGGTCGTTCAGCAGCTGAACTGCATCACATTGGTCACTTTTGGCTGAATTTTGTTAAAATTCATCCGAATTTTAACACCATATCTGCAAAGGGGGGCTGTGCCACCGTGGCCCCTTCCTTTCCTGCCTGGAAGGAGTGGTGGCACAAGGACAGTGACAATGGCACATGGAGCCAGCAGAGGGGTGTGGGGCTGCTGGGGTGAGAGCTGCCAGCTCCTGAGTGCCTGGGAGCAGGATCACAGCCCCCCAGCCCTTCCATCATCTGTGGTAGGGTAGTACTGGTAATTCCAGCTGGAGGGTCAAGCAGGGTTTGGTGGCAGGAAAGGAGCTTTGGGCCTCAAAGTGGAAATTACTGTCACTGTGGTGACACTGAGAGCACTGTGGTGAGCTGGGGACTCAGTGCTGGGGCAGGAGGGAGATGTCTGAGGAGATGCCCCCATTGCTGATAGGTCTGTGCTGCTGCAGACCCCAGACCAGCATCTCTGGGTCTCCAGCAGGGTCATTCCAGAGCTGTGCTCATGTATTTAAATAGCTCCCCATCTCCTCCTTGCTGGAGGTGTCAGGGAAGAAGGGGCCACCATGTGTCCCCCAGAAAGGGACTCAATCATAGAATCATGGAATGGTTTGGGTTGGAAGGGACCTTAAAGCTCATCCTTAAAGCTCAGCCCTGCCGTGAGCAGGGACACCTTCCACCAGCCCAGATTGCTCCAAGTCCTGTCCAACCTGGCCTTGAACCCTTCCAGGGACGGGGCAGCCACAGCTCTTTACGACGACCCTGCTGCAGCCACAGATGGGGCTGGTCCCGGCCAGGGACGGCCCGTCTGTCACACCAGCCATGACCAGAGGGTGCTGCCGGGTTTTCAGGGGCTGTGGCACTCACTTGTCCCCTTCCCTTGCTCTGCAGCTCATTGAGGACCTCAGGAAGCAGCTGGAGCACCTGCAGCTGTTCAAGCTGGAGGCGGAGCAGCGGCGGGGCCGGAGCAGCAGCATGGGGCTGCAGGAGTACAACAGCAGGACACGGGAGACAGAGCTGGAGCAAGAGATCAAGCAGCTCAAGCAGGTGGGGAAGGCTGGGCAGGGAGGGAAGTGATTTCCTGGCACCAAGGAGGGGTCAGCAGAGTCTGGGGGCTCCCTCAGATGGAGTGATTCCAAGAGCCCACTGCTTTCTTGCTCTTCTCTCCTGGGACAGGGAGGTTGGCTCCTTCTTCTGAGGGACAGCATGTACACTCAGGAGCCCTTCTCTCTGCTGTGCCCCCTGAATCTTCCCACCTCATGATTCCAGAGGTTCTCCAAGCTCTGCTGAGGTGGAGTCAGGAGGCCCTGTGCTGTTGGCAGTGTTGTGTGAGCTGTGTTAGGATGGAAACTCCTGCCTTCCCAGGCTGGATGAGCTCTGAGGGCACCAGGTGCTTCAGTGTCTGGTTTGTCTCTGTGAACAGGATAACAGGAACCTGAAGGAGCAGAATGATGAACTGAACGGGCAGATCATTAACTTGAGCATCCAGGGAGCCAAGAACCTCTTCTCAGCCTCCTTCTCGGAATCCCTGGCAGCAGAGATCAGCTCTGTCTCCAGAGATGAGGTATGTGCCATGAGGTGCTGCTGCCCTCACACTGCACCTTCCCGGGCTGGCTGGGGCATTCCTTGTGCCCTCAGCCTGAGAGGGCCTGGGAGGAGCTGATGTGCCCTGTCTGTGGTCTAGCTCACTCCCAAAACCCACCTGAAAGATGGCAAGAGCAAAAAAATCCCCACGCAACTCTTTGCAGAACTTGCAGGACTTAACCTGCCTCCCAGCCCTCCTTCCTGGGAACAGGGAACCTACTCCCTGCCAATTTGCTGATACTGGCAGCTCTGCCTTGCCTGCCCCGTGACAGCCTTCCCCTTCCCAGGAGAGAGCAGCCACCACAGGGTGTGTCTGTCTGTCTGGAGCTGTCTTAAATCCCCCAGGAGCCAGGACATCCACCCTGGAGATCCCAACTTCTCTGGACGTGTCCTCCCTGTACCCCAGACACTGGTGACCCTGCTTATGAGACTCCAAGAAGTGGGGAAACACACCGGGATATTTTGGGGGTCCAGTGGAGTTGTGATGCTCTCTGCTTTGTTCAGGCTCCTGACTGGCTGAGAGGAAGGACAAGAGCGAGCAGAACCAGTTTTTCCTATCCCCTTAATGGTCAGGAATATCCCAGGCCACAGTGAAGAAGAGGGAAACATCCACAGGTGCACAGAGCCACGGGGAGCCCTGGGCAGTGTCAGGCAGTGACCTCTCCCTCCCTTTCTCCCTCCTTTGCAGCTCATGGAAGCAATCCAAAAGCAAGAGGAGATCAACTTCCGCCTGCAGGATTACATCGACAGGATCATCGTGGCCATCATGGAGACAAACCCCTCCATCCTGGAAGTCAAGTAAGGGCGGCCGCCAGCCGCCACTGCGCGCTCATCATGTGGGTTTGGTGCTCTGAGAGGATGAAGAGGGACTCCAAATGTCTTTGCTCTTGATGAAGGCACAAGGAAGCAACAGGTCGGGGGGTGAATGAGCCACGGACCAGGGAAAAGGAAAACCAGCAGCCAGGCTTTGTTGTCTGACTCCGTTATTTTGAAGCCCTTCTGGTTTTTGGAGGGCTGAAAGGGAACCTGGAGAAGGAACGCAGGCAACGCACACCTGGAGGAAGAACCTGTGATGCTGGGAACTGTCCTGCCAGGCGTTGGACCCTCTGGCACGCGGGGCACGAGCAGGAGCTTGCCACGTGTAGGGTGTGAGGAGAGGGGTTCTCTGAACTGCGGGATGATAACGGGATGGGGACGGGAGCGGCAGCGCTGACTTTCCCTCGCTGCCCTGTCCTACTGTGCCAAAGTGTCCCTGACACACTCACTCGCTGGGGCAGAGCTGGGAACGAGGGAAGCGTGTCCCAGACTTGCAGAGGGTTGGGGTTTGGGTTTGTTCTGTTTTATTTTTAATTAACTTAATGCAAATGTCCTCATCTGGCTGGCGCAGCCCATCCTTGCCCTGCTGCTCCTGCTGGGCCGGGGTGCACGCAGAGCCCTCACTGCTGGCAGGAGCAGCCCTGGGAGCGGCCGCTCTGGGGACAGGGTGTGAGTGCACTTTGTCACCTGCCTCCTTATTTATTTTTGCTGTCTGTGGCTCAGTCCCGTCGGGAGGGCTTGGACTCCCCGCTCCAATCCCTGCTCCCCAGTCCTGGCCCTTCTGCCGCGGGGTCTGTGGGTGCCCGTGGAGCCGGGGTGGCTCTGGGAGGAGCAGCCACTCGTCCCCAGCTGGAGACAGACACACAGGCGCTGTCTGTCCATCCCACAGGCACCTGGGGAAGGCTGCAGCTCTTCACCCCACACTGGAGGCTGGACCTGGCCACCTCTCCTTGTCCTTGTGGGGACACGCAGCACTTTGGGATCTGCAGGAGAGGCCCGAGCTCCCCACATCGCTTCCCAGAGTCCCTGGCCTGGGGACAGTGGCTGTGCCATTCCCACCCGGAGCAGGGCTCTGCTGGTGATAGCTGCAGTCCTGGAGGGGAGCCCGCTCCGGCCGCCTTTCCCTGCTGTTTCCCTGGGCTGGGGCAGGGGACGGAACAGCCGCGCTCATTCCTCATCCCTGGCATCAGCCTGGGCTGGAATCTCAGTGCCACTGGGGAGAGGAGACAGAGAACACCACAGCAGCTCCCTGGGAAACAAAAGCCATGTTTACATCAGACGGCTCTGGGCTTGCTGGCACAAGCGGCCGTGGCGCGGCGTGACCCTGGAGCAGCCACTGAACCACCCTGCTCCTCTCCAGCTCCTGGGAGGAGGCAGCCAGCGGAATCCCAGGGATCCGGCTTCATCCAGCGGTTCTTTTTCCTGCCTGTCAGGTTTTAGGAATGCCAGAGTGGCCTGGAAGCAGAAGCCACAGCGATCCCGGGGGCGGGGGGGTTCCTGCTCCTCACCAAACCCCTTTCAGCATCTCCTGGCTGGCAGAGCCCTCTCGGGGTGACCCTGCCCGGGGGACGTGGCCGCTGCCACAGCCTTATCCCGGAGGAACCGGCGAGCCACGACCATGGCACCTCAGGGTGCTCAGCCCCCACGGCCTCGTGAGAGGTGCAGTGGGGCCGGGGTGAGCCCCAAAACCCCGGGGCAGCTCCTGCACCCCCAGAACTCCCGGGCACCCACTCCCTCCCTCCCTGCCCCGAGTCCACGGGAAGAAGCCACGTAATGTACATTTCCAGAGAAGCTTTGGGTGTAAATCAGTGTATACTTGGAGAGGGAAAATTTTTCTATCTTGTAGAGTAGGTATTTTTATAGAATGAAGGTTGATCCATTTTTTTAATACTTTAAAAGAGGAGAGAAATGTATCTGTGTATACACAAAAGCATATATATATATATATATGTATAAATATATAAATATCGGAGATCTGCCTTTCTTGACTTGGGATCCTGGATCCCCAGGTCTCAAACAATTGTGATTTTTTTCCTGTCGCTCTCACAGAGGTACTGTAACTGTAAATAAGCACCAGGAAAAAGTTTTAAGCAAACAATAAGCACTGACTTGCACATTCACCATGCTTTAAAAGCCCTATGGAGAGAAAAAAAAACAAAACAACAAAACAAAAACTGTACATCCCAAAAATGTTCCTCTTTCCCCATCGGTATGTGAAGGAAATCCCCCCAAAAAAGAGGCAAAAACAGTATTGTCTTAAATGATGTATCAATTCTTGTCGGATTAAAAGCTGTTACTATTCCTGCCCAGAGACTTTTTTTACGCAGGGGTGGGGTGGATTGAAGCATCCTGAGTGTCCAAGTGCTGGATCTCCAGTGGGGGTGGATGGAGTGGAAATGCTCCTGCACCACGAGTGCCCTGATTTTGGGAAGATGAGGATGGAGGAGGCTGGACCTGGCTGGAGTGCCCTG